GTGTCATGTACTAACTGAGTGATACTTGACAAACTTAATTCTATCCTGTGGAAAAGTAGAAGCCCTGGTGTTCTATTTCTAAGCCTGTCATCTGCCCTATATTTTCCTTTTTTCTCCTAGAAGATATTTAGAGGAACAAAATCTTTTACCAAAAGAATGTGTTTATTTTTAGATCATTTTCCAAACATACACAGTGCTACAGATCAACTGCTGTTTATTGATTTGTTGTGTCAATAATTCCATTAACTGTGCTTCATATAATTCAGAATATGCACTACTGCCCAAACATATGGTGCGGCACCAGCAGCAGGGGACAAGAAGGAATGAGCGTGAAGAAACTAAAGTTCAGGCAGCGCCTCCTCCTGTGCTATTAAGTTACTCAGCTCTATCACACGGTGTTGAAGCAACGTACATAGTATTTAAACTGCTCTGACAAATTCTAAAGTTTAGAACTTTAAAGTTAGAGGAAGAAAAGCAAACATAAGCGGAAGCCACCACGAGCTCCATTCTGTCAATTATAAAGGATGTTTTTACGATGAGTATGATACTTTTTCCAGATTAAGTAGGAAAGACATACTGGGCTTTCACATATGGTAAACCTCAAGTTTGTATTGGATCCATCGTTGCTTCTGACGGTTGTTCATTTCGTGTGCTGTCAAGAGGCTGAGCTGCTTTAACAGAGGATTGGCACATCTCTGTTTGCCCTGTATCCTAGGTAAATACTCGGTGCATTCGTGTCCTCTTCTCAAGTTCAACCCTCTGCCTAAGCAGGCACCAAGTCACTGATAAATTATTATGAAACCTTGACGGCATAGTTATTTATCAAACTCTTCTCACCAACCATAAAATTTATGTAGCTGATGGTCTCTCACAGCTTTCTATTACATAATTAAGATTTAGATTCCCTTGAAAGCTCTTCCTGTTGGTGCCTGGCACAGATTTTTATTGTTTTACTTTTTTTTTTCCCCAGTCATTTGCAGGACTTCATAAAGTACATTTGATTCTTGGAATTTATTCTACTTTTCAACAAGAACCCAAGTATTGTGACATTCATGGCACAGTGTAAAACATGACGTGGGGCAGTATACTTACTTGTTTTAGTTTCTTCATTGAATAGAAATGTTATTTAAAAATATGGCAGAATTGAAAAATAATGGTTTATTTAGTAGGTGAACTGAAAGTACATGTACCAGTTCTTGGTGTTAAACTTGCAAATAGTAATGGATTTGTCTTCAGGGCAACAGTATGCAATTGTGTTGGCTTATGGGCTGAATTTGACCATGTGGAATCAAATGCAAGAGATAGTTGGGCTTTCTGTTTTTTATTGTTACCCGTGCAGTTTTATTTTTGTATACATGTGAAAAAATATATTTAACGTATAAAAATACATGGTCATACTACTAAAATTATATCCTTGATACATGTAAGATGTTTGTATATATGGACATACGCAAGTCTTTTCAGCAAGAAAATATATCAGTAGCCAAAAAAGTAAGCCTGATGCATCACAAACTGTTGTAAACAATTCAGGCTAAGCAAAAAAGAAAAAGTCAAGTTGCTTCATTAAATTTTATCAGATGTTTCTGAGACCAATCTTTTAACCGATGTATATACACTGTTTTTAAATAGCAATTTTTTTTCCAAGTCACTGGATTAAATGTGACAGAGCTGTAGATAAAAACCATGAAAAAGTGTGCAAAAAGGCACATTAAGAACAGGAGCCTTCTAAAACAGCCTTGCGCCATAAGACCAGTTGTATCCAGTTAGGAGAAAGAGTTGTGTGCCCATCTCCTTTGCCTGAAGTGGAGGGCATGGTTCTTTCAGTTGCTTGGCCAGTTTGGGTTCCTTCATGGCATAGGGGAGCAACAGACGGAGACCTGAATTGCTGGTGCCAGTGCGTTTCATCCAGTATGAGCTGCTCTGTGGCATCCTTCTCTTATGAGCTGGCTGTCCCTGGTACCTCCCAGGTGCGAGCAGGCTGCTCTCCCACTTACGTGTGCTTGCATGGTAGATGATTTCCATGTGCTCAGTAAATCGGCACTTCTGTGAAATACGGACTTACAGCACATGCAGAGACTGATGAGGTTTTTCTTAAACTGTGGGTCTGGTCATGGACTGTGCAAGGTGGGTAGAGGGGAGACAACTGGACAACTCTCTTGTGCCAGTAGAAGAAGGTGGGGACCCTGCCAACCCCAAGAAATGGGGTAATTTTATTGAAAATGTGGTCTGAGAGAGAAGAGGAAATACCAAGGGAGACTATTGGGGGCTTTTTTGTCTTCTGGTGACTCACTGTTTCCAATCTATTTCTATTTACTGTTTTCGTAGGCTGCTTGACTATCGTTCATATGGCTTTGGTGTTTCCAACACCAACCTTGTAGGCTACAAGAAAATAGTTCATGCATGTTACTTCAAGAGACAAGTCGAGGCCTTATGCTGTAGTTGAGAGAGTAGGTTGCAATCAACTTAAAATCAGGTCCCTTTTTACATGAAGCAAGGTTGGCATGTTCTGTGGATCTACTGTGAGTGTTTTGTGGTAGACTCAGCCTATGAACCGCTGTTGTGGAGGGTGACAGTGAGAAGCCAGGAACTCTGGCAGGTTTAAGTGTGTGCTATAATGTAAAAGTGAAAGACTTCTTTGTGTGTATTAATGAAACCAGAAAAGGAAGATGCCGTTAACTGCCGTTCCTGGGCAGCTGTCTCATACCCATACGTAACCTTTCAAAAATATTGAGCATACTTCCCCTTTTCTCATCTTTCTTAAAGAAAAATCTTGATTTTTTTTTTTTTAAATTTCTGTTTTTCCCCTCTTCAAATTGGGCCCTTGATTGCAAACTTTCTCATATTCATGATGAAAGTTTAGCAAGTCTTGAGCTATCTACCTGCAGGCTTTTCCATTGCATTCTCAGGGGAAATCAGCTTCACTGTTTGTTTACTTATTGGGAAAGCATGTAGCGAGAACCTAACCCAAGCATGGTTTACATAAACAAACCACGGTCACTTTGTTTGAGGTGGAGCCTTGATGAGTGCAGTCTGGTGCTTGTACATTCCTAGCTACTGAGTTGGCTTATCTGGATCAGCACTCTTAATTTACATTCCACATTATTACTATATTGGGGGGCATTTAAAAAAGAAAAAAAAAAAAAGAGGTAAAATTATTAACTGTTATTTCCTCAAAGACAACCAGCAAGCAGTTTGTGTTGGTCCAGCATTGGGAATGTGGTTATTCACTGATGTCCTACAAATCACACTTTTCATTTAAGGAACCATCCTGTTAAGGAGTGAATTCACTAGTGAACCTAGAAGAATCAATGTGCTGTTTATAATGTGGATGCAATATAGTATTTGAACATTTTGTGGGTCCTTTAATTATGCTGCATCTCTGTATTTTAATTTTGAATATTCCTTCCCACTTTCTTCTCGCACCCTAAGAGCCTCTTCTGTTTTTTTATTGTATAAAGCCATAAATAACTATGGCTTTCTAGTGAAAAACTTTGTAATTTTGGGAAGTGTGTTTTTCCATCCAAAATAATATTCCTGTATGTGCATTAGTCGTTTAAGGAAAATGCTAACATTAAATGATGGCATAATAAATTGATAATCTCATTTGTAAATGTTTTCACTTCACCCTCTCCCTACTCTCTTTCCTTTCCCTTCTCTTCTCATTCACTTCCCAGAAGATGTGCTTATTTTGCTAAGAGCATCTGCTCTGTTCATCAGGATACACATGATATTACTTGAAATCAAGGATTAGGAACACAAGCGCAGAATGCCGTTAAAACCAATGGTGAAGAAAGGCTGCCAGGGCCATAACAGAATCTGAGACCAGCTCACGTTGCCCCTTTTTTCTTCCCCCCTCACCTCTATCCTTCTCATCTGCCCTACCTTGCATTTTTTGAGTTGGAGAAGCTCCTCTCCCTTAGCTCCTTCTGTGCCTTTGTGCGCCTTCTGCTTCCTTCTCTTCTCTCCACCTTTCTTTTGGGTATATGTACAACAAGTTGCTTGTCTGTGCTTTCCTGTAGCAGCTGGAGTCCCTGTTTTGGTGACACTGTAGTTTCACCCTTATATTGCATATGCTTGTTTTGTTGTTCATTTTCCCCCTGAAGAACACAATTAAAAGAAGTGAAATTTCAGTTGACCACAGTTTATAACTCACCAGCAGCTGAAAGTGACAAAAGGACACTTCTCTATTGTGCTTTTATTTTCATGCTTGCTTTTCAAGAACTACTGCAAATAATGGTGGTAATATAGCTGCTTCACAGCAAATGTTAAAGGATTTTTGAATAATATAGTATGCAGAAGCTGCTTCTACTGTCTCTGTGAAATTACAGTGAAGAGTTATGATTATCTGGTTTTGTATGGTTTTAGGCCATGGTAATTCCAAAGAAACTAGAAAGCAGACTTCAACAAAAATAGATAAAGCGTAATTTATAGAAACATGGCTTATTTATAGGACTCTAAAGGGAATTTACTGTTCTCACACTGTTGAGGCATCTGTGAGAAAATGAAAGGATAACTTTGAGCACATTGAACACTTTATCCTGACTTCATCATAGACCTGTGCAATTGTTTGCATATGCATTTAAATTTCAGAAGCTTGAGTTCCCATTACTGGCAAGACTAAACAAATACACTGGATAGATGTAATGTCATTGGTCAAATCTATAAAAATAAATTCGCCATCATTCCTCTAATTTTCTTCTGAGCAAATCTTATTTGAAATAATTAGGATCATATGTTTCTGAAATATTGTTACCGGATGTTAATAATAAAGTGTTTTGTATTTGTGTTTTCCAATTCTTCAGTAAATGATCTCAAGAAGAAGCTTAGCTAAGCACCATTTATGCTCTGACAGCATGGTATTAAATTGCTGCTGCAAAACTCAGTTCTGTGTGTCTTCAGTTTTCCAAGTTACATTTCTTTTCTGTTTGTGAAGTCCTGTGCAGCAAAGGAAACCATTTCTAGTTTTAACTCAAGTGTTTCATATTTTGTTTTAGGTCGTTGGAAGAGGAGCCTTTGGTGTGGTCTGCAAGGCAAAATGGCGAGCTAAAGATGTAGCCATTAAACAAATAGAAAGTGAATCTGAAAGAAAAGCCTTCATTGTAGAGGTACAGTAAGCTTGCTGGAAAATGCTGGGTTTCGTAGAGCTTGTTTTCTTAAATCCATGGATTCATTTAGTGTACTAAAGCTATGTCATTATTACAAGGTAAATGCAGCCTGTGGTACAAGCGTGGACCCCTTGCCATGCAGACCAGGACACCAGTCAGCACAGTGCTGCTCCTTTAGTTTGCTTCCCAGAAAAACTGGAAGGCAAGGGGGGAGAGAGGAGGGTGTGCAAGTGGGGAAAGACCGGTTCCTAAATTCTGTCACAGTGTGGAGTCAAGGTGCAGCCAAAATACCAACCAAAATCTTGGAGCTGATTAACACTTTCAGGGCCTACAGTGTAGGTTCTTTATACAATCAGGTCTGTACTTGAAACTGTTTCTTTTTTTTTTTTCTATAGTTCTAAATAAGTTCATTATTTTTTCTTACATACAAGTTAACATGTAACTTACATGTAACTCAGTCACCCTTTCCATTCAGTGTCTACTTCTTCAGAAAGTTCTTGAGTAGTTCAGATATATTGATAAACTTCCCATGATACAGAACATTTTCTATAATCAGACGCTAGCCATGTAGTTTAAATGAGATCTGTTGTGACATTCTGCTTAGCATTTAGTCAGTAGGAATTTAGGATGTTGAAAATATACAAAATACGTTAAACACTAAACTATAATTGTAACACACTGAAGGGTTAAAGGAAGTATATTTGTAATAGTCCCCTCTGTGTAAATATTTATATATTGTTCATTACCATGGAATGTTTTTAATGTTATTAGTCTGAGTCTAATTTAACACTGAGTAGATTTGATCAATCTTTTAGCATTTTTGTGTTCAAAAGAGATCTGAGAAGATAATCTCAGATATGCTATAGTAATTATTAGGATTCAGGAAACTATACCGTGTAAGCATCAGTTGTAATACTTCATTCTGGTTTTTTATAACTTCTGAAGTGTGCAGAAAAAAATAACATTAGCTTCTTAGACAATGAACAGCATAAGTTGCCTCAGAAGTCTGTGTAACAGGAAAAAAAATTCCTTTTTCCTTCTACTACCTGCTGGTAAAGAAAAATTAAGTGCAAAATAGTCTAATTGACAGTTAGTACAAGCAGCAGTAGGTTCTTAGAACCATGTCACATTAATATTAAACTGGCTGGCTTATTTTACAGGATTTTGGATTCTGGGGTTTTTTAGAACAGTAATCTTCCATATTGTGAATAAAGCCAATATGATTCAGACTGTTTATGATAACTGGGATTCCAAAATTGGAGGCTCCACGAAGAGCACCAAACCTATAGAGATCATAGTTGCACGGTGCTTATGTCTTGAATGATTTTTACACCATAAAAAAAGTAATTCTTTTAAACTTAGTTTCTTCAGAGTTTCTTTTAAAATATGGTTCCACTTAGGCACAAACCTAATTGCATAAATTAAAGTGCAAATGGGGATGTCAGTCTTGTAATTTCTAAAATCACCATCTAGGGTTATGCAGACATATAAAGCTGTAATTGCTGTTGTGGTGTATGAAATATAGTTGTGTAAATAAAGCATTAGCCCTTTTTTACCATGGTTTGAAATGAAGTATGATTTGTATTGCAGCTTCGACAACTGTCACGAGTAAACCATCCCAATATTGTCAAGTTGTATGGAGCCTGTCTAAACCCAGTAAGTTGTAGTTTGTCAGTATCACAAAAGGTGACTAACTTAGCGTACGCAAGCATCAATGCTCAAAATGTGTATTTTATACCAAAAAACCAGTATTTTATATTTTGCATGTTCTGGTAATTATAAGGAAATACACAGCTAGGTAAGTTGATATTGTCAGGTTTCTGTTTGTTGTTTCCCCTGCTATGCGAAATAAATTCTTTTAAGAAAACCAAAGCTATTTCTGAACACCAGTTATACTTCAGTTTGTCAGAATGGCATCTGGTATATTACATACATAGTGTCATTCATATCTGCAATCCTATTAGTTGCAAATCAGCAATACGTAAAGAAAATACATTAGCAACACATGATTCATAGCTTGTAAATCAGTTCCTCTTCTCATGTTTGCAGTTTTCAGGATTTGCTTGCTTTCTGCCACAGCTGCAGGCATCTCACAAATGCTCAAAGCAGAAAAGCAAAAACTGTGACAGGACAAATGCATCTTTAGCTAATTGTAGTATGGGCTGTTTAATTGGTTAACATAATGCTGCATCCCTTTCCTTCTTAGGACTAGTGAAATTCTTTTGACGTGGTGTTTAAAATTTTTGTAAGCCACTAAAAAAGAAAAGTAAAGGCAAATGAATTGCAGTTTGAAGACAGCATTTGCTTTTCAAGACTTGGAGGGGAGGGAAGTCATTCTCTTCTTTCCCATCTTACAGTGGGAACTAAGTATAAAACTGATTTCTGTTTCTTATATGTAACTATGTACCATTCAAACTGTCTCTGTACCTTATAGATAAATTTTCCATTAGCTTAGGTGTGGAGACTTTGCAGTTCCTCTGAAAGAACTTTCCTTTCAGTTTACAAAAGCTATTTTCTGTCCCTACATTTAAAACATCCCTATTTTTTGTCCCCTCCTGCCCCCCAAAGGTGTGTCTTGTTATGGAGTATGCTGAAGGAGGTTCTCTATACAATGGTGAGTATCATTTCAACATAGTATCTTCCTGGAGCTGAAGTGCTACTCTAGAGCAAAAATGATCCAAAATATAAAGTTGTTTCATGCATTTGTCTTCGTTCTCTGAGATAATCAAGAAGCCACCTGGACACAGTCCTGGGCAACGACCTGTAGGTGGCCTGCTTGACCCTGCTTGGTGGACCTCCAGAAGTCTTTTCCAACCCCAACCGTTCTGCAGTTCTTGAAATTCTTAATATCAGTTTAAGGAGAAAGGGATGTGCTTTTAAAAAACACTTTTTAGTCCACTGGTTTGTTTCTTGATACCAGTTTGTTGTATTTTATACCAGTAATTAAAGGTTTTCCAGTGGAGCATCTGGAAAAGATTATTCCTTAACTTTTAAGTTCCCTGAGTATTTGTTTAACATAGCAGAGATAGCTGAGAACAAGCAGCACCTTTCATATTGAATTTTAGCATCAAAAATTGTGAAAAGCATACTAAAAACAGAAAGTATTTTGACATTTCCATTACTTTAACAGTCTGCAGAAGGATATTTTCAGTTACAGTAATAAGGCCTTGATAATTAGATTCCATAGAGCTTTCTGACTGGTATGTTGTTAACTCCGTTGTATCTCTTGTAATATGCAATAAAGTTCTTTTTAGTTTGTGCCTTTGTTTTGCAGTGCTGCATGGTGCTGAACCTCTGCCTCATTATACTGCTGCACATGCCATGAGTTGGTGTTTACAGTGTTCCCAAGGAGTGGCATATCTCCACAGCATGAAACCAAAGGCTCTAATTCACAGAGACCTGAAACCACCAAAGTAGGTTTATGGCTTGTATCTTCTTACAATTGAAATTTAAGAGCATTTGTAATTTCAGAGCATTTGAAAGAAGTACCTTTAATTGATACTGACTTTATTGGATATACTATATTCTGAATGACAGCCCTGCATTTGAAATTTCAGTTACAGAATGATGGTGCATGGTACAGGAAATTAACTGTATTTGGTTACTTTCTGTTAAACTTCTCCTGTCCTGCATCACAGAAGAGAATTTTGATAGAGATTGGGCTTCTAACCAGAGACCTTTCAAAAGCCTCAATTTTACAATGGGTTTCCATGCTCAATAAGAGAATATTAGGTGCAGGAGTGGTTTGGTTGCCTGGTTTTAACATCATATTTAATCTGATATATTAGAGCTCTTTCCCCACATGGCCATCCTCCTCTACCCTCTTATACTGTCTGCTCCACTACCCCTGCTAGAATCTACCATCACTTTCCACTGAAACAAAAATGAATAGTTTTCTGCCCAGTTTGTTGATCTAAGTAATTTCACAGCTTCAGATCTGGCTCCACAGGTTGGGTGGAAATGGAATTCGGGGATCAGCAGGATCTCTCCTTTTAGGTGGTAGCCTGCGGTTATTACCAGATAAAATTATAACATGACTCCATACTTTAAATCTTGAATTCTTTCTTGTATCCTCAATTTTGATTTAGAGAGCTGTTAACATGTAACTTCAAGTGCTTTCATTTAAATAAATAGCTATGTTGACTGACATTAATGGGAGTCTTGATTGTTCTTTGGTAAAATTGTTACAGCTGTTCTTGTTTTTCAGCCTCTGGCATCTGAAAGACTAATTTTGTCGATATATACTTAATGGTTTATTATGGCTAAAGATATTTAAAGTAGAAAGATTAGTAAATGTAGACATATTAATAAATCACAAAATATATGAGTTTTAAAATATTTAATATGTTCAGATATTAATCACAAGTGGCCTTATTTATTTCTCAAATTATAAAACTAAAGCACTGAGAAGCAAGGCCTTAGATAATCAACTATGTTAGAATGATAGTTGGGATTTAAAAAAATCAGTGGTTTATTACCAGACTATTTCATCCTACAATTTTAATTTTATTTTTTCCTTTGACAGTTTGCTCTTGGTAGCTGGGGGCACAGTTCTAAAAATCTGCGATTTTGGTACAGCCTGTGATATTCAAACACACATGACCAACAACAAGGGAAGTGCTGCTTGGATGGCACCTGAAGTTTTTGAAGGTAACAATAACTTACAGTGTCAGTATTACATGTTATTTCTAGGGATGCAACTGTGAATGAATTTGGTATGGAAATAAGAGCATCGTGTAATCTTCCTTTATTTCAATCAGTTGTATTAAAGTTGTAGGTAACAACTGAAAGAGTCTTGGCAGAATTCTAACATTTATTTTAAAAGCTGTATGATTGTATACTGTCAAATAATTATGCAGAGTTTTGAAGAGTAGCACTGAACTGACACTATCACGTTAGTATTAGACAGTTAATTACATTGATATATGGAACCTTTGTTTGTATCATTGCTGAGATTTAAGGAAGGAGTACCTGTAGACAGCTGCTGGTTTTATTTTATAAGTAAAACAGAGGGCTGTTTCCCCAGGAGCTGCTGTTTCCAAGATTCTTAAGTAATTTCAGACTCTTTTGACATTGAAATACACTGTCATTAATGTTCATTCCCTATTCTGATCAGCTTTTATCTTCAGAATTTCCCTGTTAGTGTCTCTAAATTGAACATAATTGCCTTCATTTTCAATCCTCCACTTTCTTGTAACTCCATCTTTGTCTGCTTTTTGTGTAATCTAGAGATTTTATATACTTCCTCTTTCCTACATACTGAGGAGCTTGTTATTAACAGTTAATTTACTTAAGTAGGAAAACAAGCTATTTCTTGGAGTGTAGCTGGGGAAGACTGATGACACTTGATCATTAGATAGGTATAATTGTTGCATGATTATCAGAGAAATAATCCAGTTGATGTTAGATTGCAAATTACACACCTTTTAGTCAGTACCTTATATTATGATCACAATGAGCAGTGTGGTCTGGAAACGTCTTCTTCCTGCTTTAGGAAGCAGGGGTCCTGGATTTGATATATTTGGCAAGTGCCTATGAGCAGCAGTGGTTTTCCAGATTCTGGATCCAAATGGCATCTTTTCTCTTACTGTCCTTATTCCAGAGAGGAGCCACAAATTATGTATGTCCATATGCATTTTTAGGAGGTGTGTTTGGGAGGAAGTTTCTTTTGAAGCTTTTGTTTTGAAAGTACCTTTTTCTCCCTCATATTGCTTGAAGGACCAGCCAAAGCTGATCTGTTTCATGCTGATGCCTAAAAACTTTCCGTTGTGTCACTGTATATTGAGGCACCTACTCTATTTCTTTAACTCTAGCTAGGAATGCTTCTTTTCTTAATGTTTGTTTACTATTAAATGAAATTGTAGAAATGAGATTTTTTTTAATTTATAAATAATCAGGTGGACAATCAACATTAAAGCTAGATTTTTTTTGTGAAAAATCTTAATCTAAAACAGATTTTTAAATAAGTATATCTAGTAGGGATTTACAGTACATAACCTAATTCCTCGGGTCTATGAATTCAGCAAGCAGAGCAAAGAAAATTTATATGCAAATTTATTGTTGGATAGCAGGAAAAGCCTTCAGTTTACAGTTGGTTTTATATACTTTTATCTGAAAGTACTTACTGATAATGACACAAATCTTTATACAAGAACAAGTATCAGGGAAAGATTTAGTGCTGTTCTAGTACTGATGTTTTTAGATTAGAACAATGAAGGCACAAGAAGCATCTGTTGTAGGTGGCAGAGTGCTCATTTGAAGTAATTGCCCTAATATTAACATTTTCCACCCATTTTAAACATTAGGGCACTTAAAGCCTTGTACAGATCAAACAATGTAAATGAAAATAATATCATTTGGATGTGAAAGTGAAAGAGACCAAGTGCTCTACTCTCAGAACTCCCTTTAGAAGAAACTATTTTAAAAATGCTTTGGGATAATTGCATAAATTGAGGAATGATTCTGTCTATCTTTTATCCTACCTTGGCCTGTTAGATAATGAAACAATGCAGAATACTCTCACTTCTTTTGGGCTGTCATTTTTCAGAATTAGTCCAAGACTTCTCAGCCACAAAATAGAATTTCCTTGCTCAAACAGGAGAATAGCACTGCTTCCCTGTGTGTGTCAGAGAAGTGCTGGGGCTGCATAGACAAGAGAGACTCTTCTGCTTCCTTTTCCAGCACCTTTGAAAAATAAGCTAACAGATAAAGCTGGCTTTGTTTTCCCCCTTCAGTAACTTTTGAACTCATTAGCCATGTTCAGAAACTTTGATACAGATATAAAGAGTTTTGGAGAGGCCAGGTTCTTAAGAGTTTTGTAAAATCCGTAGCTGGGAGAAGTCCAAATTAGTGCCTTCACTTGGAGAGGACTTGTGCTTCATGCTGCAGTCTGTTTGTCCTGTTTGGCTTGCAAACTGGCTGGTCTGCAAAGAACCAGGCTGAGAATGTGTTGCTTTACTTGCACAGCGGTGTGGGGGCAGAGGAAGGTGGCTCATAGGTAGTGGAGCCTGTTGCAACTGGATGTTATACAATGGGTATCCATATGAAACTAGGCTTCTCGAATTCCACTGCTTATGAAATGAGTTGTTTCAGTGCTTTCTCATTATGTATTAACAAAAACATATCTTGGCCACTCGATGCCAATTTTGATCCTTGTTTGAAGACAGATGAGCAAATCTCTATCATTCATATTTACACATTTATCATGTCATTAGCAATTCACATTTCTTTTAAGTATTTGCATGAGTTATGGTTACAGAGCATACATTCTTTCCTTGCAGTTTCTGAACATTTTTCTTCATTATTCTAGATCACCTACATGTATTCTGCACCTTTATCAAGAGTCTTAGAAATATTGAACTTACAGTCAAAGAACTTTAATTAATGACATGACAAGAACAGTAATAATAATAAACAGGGAGGAAATAAGATGGTGAAGAATTGAGGAATCTGCTGATTTGTTCATTTAGTAACTTACTACCAGTAGGATACTGCTAAAGACCTGTAATTAATAAAGAGCAATGGATATAACAGAGATGATGTTGCCAGGCATGTTGTGACTAATATGGAAGAAGTGAGTTGAAGAATATTTACAGGAAGTAAGTGTAGTCAGTTAAATCCTGAATACAAGAGATCTTTGAAACTTAGTAAATTGTGTTTTATATTATATAAGAAAACTGATGCGTTTTATCATTTCAGGATGACTCCAAGTGAAAAGGATTGATTTCCAGAAAGAGGCATTTTTAACAATCATAGTGTCAGATGATTTCAGACTTAAGTTAGCGTGAATCAACCAGCTTTAGAAAACTGTTTTTTCTCAACAGAATAAATGTGAAGTGAAAGGAAGCATGTAGAGCTATTTGTCAGCTCAAACTACTTCTTTTTAATGTGTTATATAGAAAAGAGACAAATTATATTGATGGCTTTCTTCCAGGTAGCAATTACAGTGAAAAATGTGACGTTTTCAGTTGGGGTATTATTCTCTGGGAGGTAATCACCCGTAGGAAACCTTTTGATGAGATTGGTGGTCCAGCTTTCCGCATAATGTGGGCAGTTCACAATGGTGAGTTGAAAATACTTTATTGCATTTGAAGTTGCGTATCTGACCTATAAATTTGCTAAACACTCTTAACTGTGCAGCTTTAAATCACTAGGATTTCCATTTTTTGCTGCATTAAATACACAGTTTTGTCATAAAGACTTAATCGTTAGATGCTGTCAATTTTGTGTCAGTGTGGGTTTTGTGTTATTTGGCTGCTTCAGTCTTTACAGTTCCTGCTATGGGTAACTAGCACATGAACAAACAAGGGGAAAAGCAGTGTTCTTTTTGTAATGACACTTCATTTTAAAAGTGATCTGAATCATGTGGTACAAAGAAAAACGTCTGTCTGGGTGAATGACTTTATTAGCTACGTTCTCTTCTGTTACTATTTTTTATTTTTATTAAGCGTCTACAGTAAATGTGTGAGTTTAAGTAACTGGACCTGTCCTTAGAAATGCTAGAAGCTGTCAAAATTCTTCAGTACTGTTAGTAATTAAAAATGTTACTTTGTTTTTCACCTGGGTTTTTTTGTTCTGCTGTTTGAATTGTTTTACCTTTATATCTAGGTACCTGCAGTCATGGAGCATGACTCTACTGTGCTAGGTACTATCCAGAACAGATTCTCAGGAGCTTAAAATACGAACAGGAAACAATGGTTGGATTCAAATGGAGAAAAGAAAGCAGTGGTACAATGTTGATCAGAATAAGAGAGCGTAGTATCTTCATGGTAGCAGTGTAACTTTAACTGTGTTTTTAGCTATCATGACAAAGCAGAGTTGTAAGAAGAATAAAGTAATGATAGTGAAATAGTTCAGTGAACGTCTGCAAAGAGTTTTTGCCATTTGTGACAGACAACGTCAAAGAAAGCATGAACTTGTTGGGAAGATGTAATTAGCAAACAAGCAATGAAGGCCAGTAGCCTGCCTGAGTGTCATTGCTTCAGTACTAAATAATAGGAGTTTAAGGTGATCACAGGCAATCCTGTTCAGTGAAGAGGAAAAAGGACAGAGAGTAGTAGGATGGATAAGCTTTATAGTCTTAGTAATGCAAAAAGAAAGATGTTTCAGATGGCATTTTTGACAGAATAAAAAAATTCTCCACCTCAGTTTTTCAGGGACACAAATAATTGAGATTAGGAGTGATGAGTGCCTTGCATAAAAGCATTAACTGTAAAAATAAGTGTAAATGTAATAGTCATAAATCAGAAAGCCTCAGTAAGGTGCGGGAGTATACTTTAGGGGAAGGCAAATTCTCTGTCACTACTTTTGCTTTAAGAACATATCTCTCTCTCTTTTTTTTTTGTTTTTTCCTTGCAAGTACAGCATTAGGAACCAAAGACTGTTACTGCTTGCTTCCTAGTTTGAATCAGAGCTTTATTCTTCAGAAAGTGGTAACATATTCATTAGGCATTGTACTGCGTTGTATTTGGTCAGTCACTGAATTTATTCAAACCACTACTGAAGGAAAAGTTTAATATTCTACCTATTTGTATGTACTTGTAATTTTTATGTAGTGAAAAGGAACTTTTTTGTCAGTTTTCTGTTTGTAAGAGAAAATTAAGTACAGGTCAGTTCTTTCAGACTACAATTAACTGTATGATTTCCTGTATTTATTTAGCAAAATACCAGAGAGAAATCAGTTGCTGTCAGTCATTTTATAATCGGCTTAATGAACTACGTTTTCGTTTTGTTTTTCTTTTTCCTAATTTCAATTGTAGGTACTCGGCCACCACTGATCAAAAACTTACCTAAACCAATTGAGAGTTTAATGACCCGCTGTTGGTCCAAGGATCCCTCGCAACGACCATCTATGGAGGAAATCGTTAAAATAATGACACACTTGATGCGGGTATAAAGATATATTTTAGTATCTTAATAATTTCTTAACACGTTAATTTGGGAAATTGAATTGGATATGCCTCTTATCACACCCTAAAGGCAGGCTTGTATGTTTCCTTTCTCCTTGTCCCTCTTTTTGATAAAAATTACCACATTATTACAGCAGAGAAGGGAAATCATTCCTCTCCTTATGGGAGAGGTATAATAATTCATGACAATTTTGGAGAAATTAATAAAAATAGCCCTAGATGTGTTTGAATATATTACTAAAAATAACTGCATTTACTTCACTTCTAAATAAATAATTATAATGTATTATTTATACATTATTTTATGAGGTACTAGTTAAAGAATTTTAAAACTATTGTTAGTTACTTTTTTAATCAAATCATTACTGTTTTTTTCACAGTACTTTCCAGGAGCTGATGAACCTCTGCAGTATCCTTGCCAGTATTCAGATGAAGGCCAAAGCAATTCTGCCACTAGTACAGGTACACTTGTATAAATAAGAGGAAAGAGCAGCAACATCAAATGCAGATGGATTATAAAGCACATTCTCATATTGATTTTGAACTTTAATTGGTAAAGATAACCTTTCCAAAATCTTAAACATTGGCAGGAACCTATTTTTTGTTAACACCTCATACCACATTGTATTTAGTGTTCTCAACTAAACAGTTTTGCTGAAGTGTGCCTTTAATGGAGAACAAGCATATAATAAAAGCTATCTCAAAATGTCCAGTTTTAGGGTCTCTGATTTTTCCCATGAAGGTTGCTAGCAATTGACTCACTCACATGTAATTTTTGGAAGCTGGCATTTTTACATTTTTGACTGCATGAAAGCTGCACCTGCTTTCAATTATGATCTGCTCAATTTAAACTTGCTGTTGTTTTATATTAGGGTGCAGTTGATACAGTGATTTGAACTAAGTGCAAATAAATCACTAGAAAGGTGAGTGGAACAAAATGGAGGCTAGGCTTTCAGGTAGTCTTGCCCTCAGAGAAATCTTTTTAATAATAGAAAATAAAGATTGTTTGGTCGTCTCATTTTTCAGAGTACAGTTCTCCAGCTTCAGTTGTTTTTAATCTTGAGTGTCTTCACCTTCCACTGCTTGGTTGGTTTGCTTTCTGTCTCCAGACAGATTGCTGTTATTTTGGAAAAGGCTTCCTTGGCTACTTTGCAACCTAGGGACCTGTGAATTATGTTACAAAATCTTTTCAGCTGTGGCATTGTACTGACTTTACCAGCTGTTCTCCACCCCTCAGCACAATTGTTTTAAGACTATTTCTCACTTCAAAGTGTGCATATATCTTGTCTGTTATTTTTCAGGTGTTTGTGCTCCTCTGTGGTTAATGATGGACTTTGTCATTAGTTGTGAATGATGTTGCTCGTTATGTTGTTAATATAACATCTACCCCAACAATTGCAAAGCAAGCTAAAGACTGGCTTCAGAATGTCATCTTAGTACTTAGTTGTGTATTCTACCTTTTTTCCTCGTTTCACTTTTACATTAATGGAGCTGTGGTAATCTTGCCTTTCATTAAAACTTTTCAGAAGAGTTGCTTGAAAGCAGAGCTAAGGATGCTCAAGCGGATGCTTCTGAGGATGCTCAAGTGAAGTGATGCACTTTAGTATTTTTAATGGCCATTTTCAAATATTCTCCCTTGTTATTGACTTCTAGGTTCCTTCATGGACATTACTTCTACAAACACAAGTAACAAGAGTGACGCTAATGTGGAACCAAGTGACTTCCAAGGAGCTTCTACCAATGACACTATTAAACGTTTAGAGTCAAAATTGGCGCAGCAAATGAAAAATACAGCCAAGCAGCCGGTAAGCCAACATGTGCAATTTTGACCTTTAATAACGAAGTGGACAAAAATGGACAAAAGTGTTGTAATAGCTACAAAAAATTAGTGTCATCTTTCAAAAATAGTACAAAATTTGAGCCAGTTAGTTACAGGAAAAGAACATGAAAGGGGGTGGAGAAATATTGAATGATTCCAAAAAGGTAAACTGGAAAGCTCTAATAACATCTTCAGTGAAATAAAAAAAATTGCTATAAAGGGATTCATCAGGTTAAAAAAAAATATTTTTGAAAATAGCTGCCTTAATTTAGAACCAAAATATTAGTGTGACATGAAAGGATTAAACGTTTATGTGAGTTTTGAAAATACTATGTTTTATTCCAAGTAGGGTGAAAAAAATACATAGATTCTCGTGTGACAGTATTGGCCTTATTACATATCTACCTGCATAAAGTCAGATTTTGAAGGCTGCAGATATTTCTTGTATGCCAACAATAACTAAATGATGGCCACTTATTGAATTAGAAATTTTAAATCTTGTAACTTTTAAAATGCATAGGATATAAATATATTTTAACCTGTGTACTGTGCATATCATGGAGGTGCTTCTGCAGAATTTTTTTCTTTTTTAAAAATGTGACTGTTGAAACAGGGTGATCCTGGCCGCTTGAGTTTACCCCCGTCTCGTGGGAGCAGTGTGGAGAGCCTGTCAGATGTTCGCGCACGACCACAGTCAGCCCTTGTTTCAGGAGACGCCAAAAGAATGAGTGCTGACATGTCTGAAATAGAAGCAAGAATAGCTTCCATCACAGGTAAAATCAAAGGATATTTGGGGGATAGACTAAGGAACTGGAGAGGAGGAAGGAAGATATATGTAAAAAATGCATAGACTTACAGAAAGCTTATAACTCTCAGCCGTTCAAAAATACTTTAACTTTTCCTGTAATCTTTATTGCCCTTTATTGATTTTGGGGGTAATGGCTTCATTCATAGTTATACACTTAACAAGGCTGAGTATTTTAATTGGGTACTTTTAAGACTGCGGAAGAGATTACTTTTGTTGCATTAGACTTTTGCCATTTTAAAGAATCATTATGAGACTTCTAAATATCAGTCCTATTCCAAATGCACAACTTTTTCCTTTGCATCTGAAATAAAGTTATTCCATCTCTGCTAGCATAATAATTTCAAAATATTATAGGAATAACCTTGAAGGACCTGTTATTTTAGAAATAAAGAGGTAGGTTTAAAGTTCAGCATGATCCCAAATAAACTTTAAAATCCACTTTGACTTTTTTTTTCATAAAGAGAAACATAGCTAGATTTTATTCATCAGGCTAACAAAGCATTGGTATCTTTCGTTGTTGGTTTTTTTTAAATAAAAAAAAAAAGCTACAGGTGTTTTGCCAGGTTTGCTTTAGGTAGCTATAAACTGATGTGACTAAACATTGAATCCCTGAGTGAATTGGAATTTATGTGTGAGTATAAATCCATAATTTTATGGTGAAATCAATCGTGATTCTTCCCAGAAGAGTAAATCAATAAAAGTGTGTATACTTGGCAAACACTTTCTTGTCTCTTTTCTTCATCAAAGATATTGTTTGTTAATCTATGCAAAGTTCAGGTTTCAAGTTTCCTATGTGAAACTTTTTTGTTATGGTATATAGCCACAGATTTAAATGATCAGACAGAATTACTTTGGTTAGTCCGAGGTTATTTAGCTGTTCTAGTATTTTTCTACCAATCTTAAAACTAGGGTGATGAAGTAGTTGTAATTAATAAGGAAATATGCATCATATTCTGGCTTTCGTGTGCACCATGGCTATTTCATTTTTGTTCTTCATTGTATCATGACCACTCCAGGGTCTTGTTTTACTAAATACTGAAGTTACTCATGAAATAATATTTATATTGCCCTAAACACTTTTTATGTTCTTATTTTTAAGTCTTATTACAAGATTTGTCTTTTGTATTGTCAGTCTTTGACTGGATGGTTGTGTAGCACATCTTACCCTGAATATCTCTAAAGGTTTCCTAACACAGAAGGCAGCTGTATACTTCCCTGATAATAATAACATGCTGATTTTATTTTCAAATATGTCAGGACTCACTTTGGTCACTGACACTCTGAAGTCAGTGTAAGTTTTTGACATTAGTGGAGATAACCCAGCCCTCCTTTGTGTGAGTTTTTAATTTTCCTGGTTTGTCTTCCTTAAGTACATTGCTCTGGATAGTAGTTATTATTTCAGAATATTCTAAGATTTTTTGTTGCTGTTATGACGGTAAGATTTCTTTTTCTTGAAACAGATGTAGATATTGAATATACTAGTTTTTTTTAAGAAATCGCTTCAGGCAGTGCTACTAGAAATGAGGTCAAACCCATCTGACCGTAACTTTTCTTAAAATTGCTGAAACAGCACTATATTCGTTTTGCTTTGTTTTTTATATCTTGTTAGCTGTGTGACAGACATAATACACTGTGAACCTGAATAAAACTATGTGGCTGGGTGAGAGTTGGTCTGCTGTTAAATCAGGTCAAGAACTATTTAATCTTCTTGTTCCATCTATTGCTAGATTAAGTGTAAGTGTGAATCACATCATGCACATCACCATTAGTTATTAATTTTGAGATGGATATGCTGCAGCATTCTACCTTTGGGAGATGTATTCAGACTTTTCTCTAAATAGGAACTATTTATCTTAAACTACACAAGTAATAAAATAATAATAAAAACCATATTTTTAGATCTTATTCTAAAGTATATAATGTTTCTTGAATGTCATTCAAAAATAAACGTTGGTAGTGATAGTAGGTAGTGGTAGATGGTAGTACAAACAAAAAATATTCACTACTAGGACAAAAGAATGGAAGGCAGGAATGATTGTCATATGTAGTAAGAGTAAGAATTTTGTCAGAGACAGATGAGATTTCCTTTAAAAGAAGGTGATTTAAAGAACAGACTTAACCCAACTATCAGTCTTGTTTATAAAATAGTTTGTACCCAGCACTAAAGAGGAAAATGGTACATAAGTTCAGGCAGTCAAGAATTTATTCTGAATATACAGGTGATGTGAAAAATTTAATTTATTCTCTCTTTGGATAATTACATTTGGGTTTCCCTTCCTTGTTGCCATGCTGCTTTCTGTGTTTGACTTTTGTGTTGCTAACTATAACTAATTACACAGTGTTGTAATGACGGCTAGTTCTGCATTTTTTGCTTTTTAACAGTTGCTTTACTATGTGTAAGCATGAGTGGAAGGCAATGCAGTTTATTCTGCATGACATTTTTGCATGAACTATAGTTTAACCAAGTTTATGAAAAATGCAGTATTAGGAATTTAATACTTTTGCTATTGCCATTTTAGTGTTTTGCATGTGTATTGTATATGTGTATTTTTTCAGCCTATTCCAAGCCTAAACGAGGCCATCGTAAAACTGCTTCATTTGGCAACATTCTGGATGTCCCTGAGATCATCATACCAGGTATCGCAGACCAGGTGAACGGGTCCATTGGTTAAGATGCCGGAATAATGATCAGACTGCTAAAAATACTTCTTGCTCCAGTTGGTCTAGGACAGAACTAGAAAGTAACCCAATAATTGTTTCATAATTTCTCTGTAAAGAGAAGCATGGTATTTTAGTACAAACTTACTTTTATCGATAAAGGATTTGAACTTCTAGTTCAAATTTACTTTTATTGCTAAAGGACTTTTTCCTTTATGATCTTGATGTTAAGAGTCTTCTTATAGTGTAAAACCACATATGCAGTCTTTTATTACTATACCTCATTTGTTGAAAATTGACTTCAGTTGAAAAATTCCTGACTAGGTAATTATCTTGCCCTGGTCTTTGTTGTGTCTGAGTACCCTTTTTTTAATCTGATCAAATATTAGTAGAACAAAAAACTTAAATACATGACATACCAAACCCCCAAATTCATGTGATACTTGATTAAAACAAAATTAATGGTTAATCTATGAATTTGACTATACCTTTCTAGACCTAAAATGTGTCTGCATGAGGTATTTCTGGTGTGTTTAAGTTAATGCAAACTAAAATTATTAGGAGTGGCTTCTGACAGGAAGAAAATCAGTATAATCTGGCACCATAGCTGGTAATTTCAGCTGGGACTTCAGTGAATAGTTCTCATCCATCCTAAATCTGTACTTAGTTAGCAGTGTATAGGTTTCCTTTCCCATTCCTTTTTTTTGCAATCCAAATTTTTCTTTCATTTCATACCTCTCAAAGTCTAAAAATAAGTATAATGAATCCCAGATAGTGATAGGTATATCAGTGAATGGTATCTAGATATACCATTAGCAGTATGCAAGTCACTTCAGAATTACTTGTCAGAGGCAGGAGATGCAAGAAATGGTATCTAATGCTAATCTAGATTTAAAACTGTGGACCTCCTACTCTAAATTTGTGTCATCTGAGTAAGTTTCCTTGTAAATCTTGACATTGTTTGGTATTTTAAAATTGAATGCAAAAGATAATTGCGTCCAAAAGTTTATTTCAAATAACTTTATTGACAGTTAAGTGCAAAAATACAGAATGTCAAGAAGTAGATTCCAAAGAACACAACAGCACTACCCATGAAAAGAAACCTGTTTGGCACTGAGACTGATAAGTCACCAAGGAAGTTTACTAGGGCAGTTTTCCATTGTAATTTTCTAGCAGTCCTGGCCTGCCATGACATAAATAAAATCCTGAGAGAGTGAGGAAAGAGAAACTGAGGAAATGCTGTCAAGTTTTGCAGTGTCAACACATGATGAGAGCCTGGTTAAAGAGTCTGAGGCTGCCCAGGGACGTGGTGGAGTCACCGTCCCTGGAGGTGTTCAAAAAAAGGTGTAGATTTGGCACTTCGGGGCATGGTGATTTTGGGTTGATAGTTGGACTTGAAGATTTTAGAGGTCTTTTCCAACCTTTATGATTCTAAATAAGCTCTAGAAGCTGAGTGCCTCTTGTCTGTGCACACTGTCTGCATGTCACACCTCTGCGGCTTCCAAGAAACCTTGAAACTTTCAGAGAAGAATTAAAAAGTCAGTGAAATAAAATGCCATGAGGTTTTCCCAGAATAGATTGTACCAGTCTATTGGGTTTTATTATTTAGGCAGAGGAAGGCAATTAGATATTCTTCACCTGGATGGTTTTAATTGAACTTGACAGGATGGGAATTTGGTGAAGTTGGAATAGATAAGAAAGAAGGTAGAGGATTGGAGCAAGCGTATTAATGAATTTTCTCAAAATTTACTCTTAAGGTATTTAAGCTTTAAATAAACAATAATGAAATTCACTGTTAATGCTTTATCAGAAGTCACTATTCATAAAGAGGAGGATTAGAGTATCACATAGGGTGAATTTTGTTGTGACGGGGAGGAAACAAAATAGAATAGGGTAAAATCCAGGGTCATGCACTGTGGGTCATACATTAACAACAATTTCTTTCAATAAGATGACTGCAAAGGACCATAACAGATGCATGCAGATTAATCTCAGGTAGTATAAGCCACTAATGTAATGCAGTTATGAAAAAACTATGTGAAATCTTAAGGTTTATTTCCAGCAAAGATAAGGAAGCACTAACACAATTTTACAGGCATTTCTTGAAGTTTAATCAGGAATTCAATATACTATTCTGGGCAGTCATATAAAAGAAACATATGTACACTGAAATAATAGCAAGAAGAGCTACTAGAATGGTATGGAGAGTGTAAAGAAGAATCTATAAGCATGGCATTTTTAGCCCACAGAATGAAAGCTGGGAAAGGAATAATTATTTTTTTTGTAGGTGAAGCTGCAGCTAAAGACTAGGAAGAGAGAACTGCTTAAGCTAAAAGACAGTATTGGCACTATAGGGGAAAAAAAAGGGTATAAATTGTCTGCAGATAAGCCTGGGCTGTATATTAAAATTCTTCCGGTTGTCAGAACAGCTTTGCCAGAAGAATCACAGGGCCAGAAAGAAAGAAATTAATCACTACATGACAGGGATGTGATCATCTGCCCAGTAAACTCATTATATTTAGCTGTATACTTTAAGCAGTTATTCAAAAGTACGTTGCTCAGTTATTCTTTTAAAGACAAAATCATGTGGCTTATTCCTTGCTCTCTTTTCTTTCCTCACAGTCTCAGCGCATGGCTTTCAGTCCTGGCTTCCTAACGCTTTTCCCCTCCTAGTTATACTTCCAAAATCCCCATACTGGCACCTTCATCTCAATCCCACCCCATAACGTTCCTTCACACTTCTGCCACGTACCCAGCTCCTCCGAACTTCCCAGGGCACGTCCGTCGGCAGGGCGTGCAGCCCGTCCCTGTGCTGCTGCCCGAGGTTCTGCTGAGCACAGGGTAAAGCAGCTGCTTCCCACAGAGGGGAGGCACCACGCAGGCATCTCACTATGAGTCAGCTGCTTTGGGCAGGGCTATTTTAGAAGTATGAGAACTACATCTGCCACCAGTGGGGTTTTTCGTGATGTTTCCTTGGCTGTTTTTCATCCGTGAACTGATTATGCTACCAAGGTTGTAAAATACAAATTTTTATCAGTTGAAGGTAAAATGTTGGCAGAAGTGGAAGATTTTAATACATATTTCCTCTTCATCCTAAACTGGTTTAACGAAGAATGAATAGTCTTTCTGTCTTAAGCTGCTGTTTTGTGGTACTAGCTTACAGAACTTAGAAACTGAAAAATGGATCAACTAATTTCTTTTTGGTGTAGCAACTTGGCAAATGAGTTTTCAGTGGTGATATCCAGCAGTCAGATAGCCAAGTGAAGTATCAATAGTTTTTTTTCAATTGATAGTATAAATATATATTTTATATATATGTATATATACACATGTATATATGTATATAATAAAAACCCAGTAAGTAGGCTTAAGTAGCTATATGTTTAAAGAAACAAACAAAAAACTAAGTATAGTTTGCAATATATAATATATGTCAAGAAAAATAATCAGAACACCTTTTTAGTACAAACCAGTCAAGTAGCATCTAGCAAATATTCCTTCAAGTGCAGCCTTTTCTTCATTGGCAAGGTTAGACTTCTCATGCATATAGTATGCAGTATTTGGCTTTATAATGTTGTCATCTGAAACTGTGCCACAGCATTAAGGTTTTTATAGCATTGACGCTGCATGAATGATTATTCGGGATAGACACATTTTGTTGAGTGTCTTTAGAAAGTGGATAGGAATTATAGATGCTTCAGATCTGAATTTTTCCATCTGCTTTAAAAACCTCTATAAACCAGAAATCGCACCCTTCCCTCCCCAGATCACTTCATCCTTCTGGAATTCAGCTCAGTGTTTTAACTTATTTAAAATGTCTTCTAGCACTGCTGCACGCACTGGTCACCCTGTACTGTGAGGGAGGTTTGGGTCTTGTAGGTGTGTAAGGAAGAGAAAGTACTGTGCACAATTAAGAAAGTGTAAAAGGAGATGAAAGTATCAGTTAAAAGGCAGAGAGAAGAGTTCATAGCTGGTCTGGATATTTGGGAGAGGCCTTAATAAATTTATAATTTGTTTTTGCTGAAGTGTGCAAGGCAGCACATGATGAAAGTTCCCTGTACCTCTTGAATTTCGTTTTAGAAAATAAACAACAGTGTGTGAAATTATTTTTTTTTGTGACCAGTAAGTATGTTTGTGATGTTTGATATTTAATAGTTAATCTCTTAAACCACTGAAATACTGACATAGCACATCAAGCTATTGTATATTAACTTCTATGCATTTACACAAACCTTAGTTTTTATAATGGGAAAAATTACTTTTAAATGGATGTAGAGGTAAGAACAGCATCAAAACTGTGAAGGGAAAGCATAGAGAAGTAGTAGTGATCATTTTACATAAGGATTATATCTTGTATATTTTTCAATTGAAATTTGTCTTGAATCTGGAGCAATAAGTATTTGTTGATTCGTAGTCTGTTTCTGCTTTGTCTAAGCTATTTGCCAGATGTCTGCAGTAATTACACTAATTAAAATGGCATTCCTAGTAGAGCTTGCTCTTCCCTCATGCTACTAACTTGAAGATATTTCATTTGAAGGTGTTCATTTATTACAACACAGTAGTTTTGGCCCCTCTTTCTCCCCAAGGCATTTTATTTTCTTTTCTTGCACCCCACCCTGATTATTTTAATGTTTTGGCACCATGTTCTAGTATTTCAGTAACACATGTGCCGGGTTCTCTAAATTCACAAATGTTGCTAATCTGAAATGAGAATTTCAGATATTTTTGCTAGCCTATTTCAGCTGAGCTAATTTTAGAACAGTGTTGTTGAATGAAACGTGTACATAATTTTGTATCGGTCGTGGGTGGATCGCCCATATCTTGAATGTTGAGATGAGCTGTGGCAGCCAGATGAAGTATCCACAGTACAGAATTCTATTAAATGTATAATCCTGTTTGTTAAATGATTAGGTGTTGAAAAAGTTCACTGCAAATGAACAAGTTCATACATTTTTACATAAATTTGTCATTCACACGATCCCTAATATCGAAGTAATAAACATGATACAGCCATTGTTGTTTAGGGTAAGTATATCATTTCCTTGAATTATTGCAATTCAGATTCATGTGTAGTCAGAGTAAAGAATATATTCCCATTCTAGAAGCCTTCTTGATTTTTTTATATACTTGTTTATCGTAGTACTTGCTATAAATTTTAGGCTATAAAATGTCATGGCTAAGTGGTAAAGTGACACTGAGAGTTTTAAGTTGCTGTTTTGTGGTGATGTGTTCTTACATATAATAGTACCTATATTTAAAAATTAAAAGTATGATAGTCTTACATTTTTGTAGTAACTGTTGCAAATGAAAACACATGTTGAGACAGGGGAGCGATGCTGAATAAGAAGTGTCTAACAGGTTAAAAACGCGGGGCTGTGAGCGAGATGGGTCGGCTGCTGCGTGCAGGGTCGCAGGGCAGGGGCTGCCGCGGCTGCAGGATGTGTCTCAGATGCTCCCCTCCAGTCGAGAAGTTACGTAATGCAGAGCGAAGAGCAGGAATTTTGAGCATTGTCAGCTGTTACTCGGGACGTTTTGGTGTTTCCTTTTGGACAGCTGACCTGCTCTCAAGAGGCAATATAAACAATCGCCGTAATAAAAATCAAAGTAGGCAGGGAGATTCCGTTGCATAATCTCCTTTTTATTTTTAAGGAGACTTCGTTTCCTGGAAATGCCTTTGATTGCGTGTCAGTGTTAAAATTTAAACTGTTTTATGTAGCTGTCACTGGTGGATAATTGCTAACAGGTGGAAGGAGAAGAGGAAAAGATTACAGCATTGTGCTCAGGAGGTTGATGGGGAGATGTGATTTAGCTGAACAGTCCCTTTTCACACTTCTCAGAGCATGAGAAGAAGACGTAATTTCGTTCATCTGAAGGAGACAAAGACCAGAAGGAAGCGCTTTCGCCTCTTAATTTTTGTGAGGGGAGCAGCAGGCGGGCAGAAGTCCTTGCTGTGTTCCTTAAGCACGCCGAAGAGCAACAGGTTAAAGCTGGCAGGCTGTTATCTTCGCGGTCTAGCTTTTAGAAATCCCCATAACGTAACGCACTTGAAATAGATGTCGTCATCAGCTCCTGCCCCGAGTACTAAGCCTGATCAAATACATGTGACAGAAGATGGTGGAGTAGAGTGCAGCAGCTATTCATGTGGTAGGAGTGGTTATCGTGTTAGGGTATACTTTTTGTTGACAGGCCAGCATGTTTTGAGTTAAAATTCTGCAGCTGTCTCTCTCTCCCCCTCTCTCACTTTCTCTCTGTGGATTTGTACAAATTCCAAGCTCCTCTGCAACAGTCGAACCCTCCTTATTTTCTTCTGAATAGATATCACTGGTTTGTTTTTGTTTTGTTTTTTTTCCCAGCAGGAAACGGACAGCAGAGACGCAGATCCATTCAAGATCTCAGTGTTGCTGGAACAGAGTCCAGTCAGGTAATGTCTTTCTCGTCGCTTGTTTGTCTTTCGATAGAGTCAACGCCGAGTCTGTACAGGGAAACCGGTGTGATATCTCCACCTTTGATGCTTTGATAGGAATGATGTGGAAGCTTGGCAGGCTGTAGTGTCGCTTGTATTGCATTTGAATTAGATTCCATGAGGATAATCTATGAATGAGCTGTGTATAGCTCATGAAGCATTTATCGCTTTTATGTACACATAGTTTTTGTGTACCGTTTAATTTGGCTGAGGGCAGATGTTATGCAGGAAAGCTTTTTCCCTTCTCTGTGTGTATAAAACAATTGTAATTACTACTTACAACTATCTGAAGCAGTTATATATATTAGACTGACTTTTTGCATAAAAAATAAAAAATATATGCATCAGTGTTTATAGACTTATTTATTATCAGTCTCTGAACCCTGAATAGTAATTTACAACCATTTGTGAAAGGTTTACAGAAGGATGCTGTCACAAAGTTTTGTAAAAAGCAGACTATCTCAATAATATTTTTTATAGTAGCGTAGCTTTCTATCTGGTATCATAAGTGCCATGGTAACAGACACAGTGGTATGCTACATAAAATTGCAATTAAACTAAGAATATCTTAAATGAGAAAAGTATAGCTAGTGCTTCACTCAGGTATGATTGTTTTGTGGTTTTAGTTGCTTCGTCTGTGTCAGTAATTCACAGAGGCTATTTGGTCGTTTGTGTGAATTGGCAATTTTGAGATCCCTACTGTTATTTGGATGTGGAAAATAGAACTTAGCGTATTCATCAGGTTATTCAGGTTTCCATATTAACCTACTGCAGTAATTTTGGGGGTGCAGAGTTCAGGGAGATCAACATTTGATCCTTCTTTAATTCCACAGAGTGTGATAAGCCACAGAAACCTCATCAATCTCCAGGTATTATAAGCAGAATTTACCCTGCACATCTATCAGAAATTAATAGAATGACTCTTAAATACATTTTAATATCTTCAGAGAAGGCAAATTTGTTAAATGAATCTGCAAAATGTAGTGAAGAAATAGATTAGCCTATTCAGTTAACAGTAGAACTAAAATTATGCAAGACTTGGGCAAAAAAGACAGTGTCAGTTATACCAAATTGCATTGATTGATGTATGAATATATTTAATTATAGCTTTTTTATTTCAAATTTTTCATTCTGTTCATTTTAATGAATGGTTAATATTTGAAAACATAGAATTTTAGCATTTTTCTCGGTATCTTAATAACTATTATAATAGCTTTCTTTGAAAGCTCTCCTACTGCTTGTCTGGATGTTCCAGCTGAATTGTCCTTGTGACCAGGCAGCTACAGGAAAGTTGGTTTTTTTTACCTCTCCAGTTGATGAGGGTCTCTGGAAGTACCAGAATGAAGTTTTACTTTTTCGCTTCTGATAGTGTACATACTGGAAACCTTAAGTGGACAAATTACATTTATCTGCTTCTATCTTGCAGGTTTTTTGAAAGATTATGAAAAAAACCTGAAAAAGTCATATTTTAACAGGCATGAAAAATGCACTTTGGAAGAAAGTTTTGCACTGTCCATATAAATGAATAATGAATTTTCTTCCCTTTCTTACTGTGAAAAGAGAGAAAAGTCTGCTGAAATCAACGCTAGGTTTTGACGTACATATGTTTATATTTAAAAACAAAAATCTGTTAGAAAACAATGAAGAAAGCAAGCACAATGTAATTATGGCAAAAGACTTAAGATTGTTCTTTATGTGTTTCTGTTGCTCTGTACCTCACTCTCTTGATTTTTTTATTTTTTTTTAATTAAAAATCTTGAACAGCTATCCATCTAAGTAATCTACTAGCCAAAGCAGTAAAAAAAAAATAAAATAAAAGCTGTGTCTAGCATAGCTCTGGTCAGTTTATCGCGTCTCCCCATATGCACCAGACCATATATAGGTTATCCTTTCTAATGTGCAAATCCCCTTCCCCCTCCCTCTCCCCATTGCAAACATCCTTTTCCCCACATTCCATTCTCTCTCCCACCCACCCTGCGGTGCAGCCTCCTTCACTGCGGTGAGCTGCCATGGCACCGCATGCCTCCGCTCCCAAACCCAGCTCTTGTGAGCCCCATCCCGCTCAGATCTGAAGGAGGTTTTTTAATTTTTATTTTTTTTTACTGACTAACTGACACGTTAAAGCTGATCAGAAATATTTTTAGTAAACAAGTTATTTTCTGAAAATTACTGCTGCGTCAATAGTAAATGATTCTGTTACTGTATTTTTTTTAAATCAGGAAAGTTTTTCCAATTCAGAATGGAATTTTTGTTAAGGTGGAGGAAAATGCTGGATTTAACGATCAGTAATATACAAAAGTTTGGGGTGCTTACCTGAAAAGGGTAAACCAAAAGTAGTGTCTCCCTACTTAACTTCTGGTCTGTTTTAATCTTGACTCTATTGTATGTTTTACAATTTCTCTTTTTGTGTAGTTAGAAGAAATTTTTGTGTTGTTTGCATGGTTCATTACTATTTTTATTTTGTTGAGAGACTTAAGGCATTTTCCAGTATTGCTCTCACTGGTGTTATCAACAACAGACAGTAATAGTGCTTTGCAGATGATTTTACTACTCAGGTGACTCTTTTACATCAAAAGTTTAGATAGAAAAATGTACCAAAGGTTTTCAGTCATTGGATCAGCAGTTGGAGGGGCTTGGTGTTGAGAACATGTATTTAAGTCATGTTTTTCACGGATGTCTCTAGTCCTTGGTGACCTCAGACTGGACCTTTCTCCAAATGACATGAGCAGCACTGCTGCAACCCTCTCCATGCAGTCAGGTGCTACATTACCATCTGCTCCCATCCTTATCCTGTGATTACTCTTCATTTCTTCTGCATTTATTTGGCTTTTTTTGACTGAAATGCTGCTCCTGCCTTTCTGTTTCCCTGTACATGCATTTCAAAACATTGTATTGTGTCATGTGTCCAACACTACTGTACTTGCCTAAATACCTTTGTAACACAGAAACAGAGGTGCAAACTCTGAACTGCAGCCATAAAAACTTGGGAGCTTGAAGGAGCACAGCAAACCTGCTATTTACACTGGATAGAGTCTTTGCAGAAATTAATATTTTATACAGATAGACTGGGGAATATACGTGACATAATGTTGTGATCAGATGTCTAGTAAGGTCTCCATGTCCTTGCCTATGTTGGTTGTTTTGGTATAGAACTCTTGGTGGGCCTTAATATCTCTTACGGTTTACTTTGAAGTGGAAAATATATTTATATTTAAGACAAGCATGTACTGTATTGAATAGTTGAGCAGCAAGGTCAGAATGTACGTGCCCACGTGCATGCAAGCTAAGTGTGGTAATCTGTGGGACCTGATGCTATACAGATGAATCATTCTGTCCGTGAAATTGGTCACAGATACTTTTTTTTTTCCCTCCCCTTTCACAGGCAGATGAAATCCACAGATGAGGAGGTAGGGCTAGTAACAATGATTTCTTTAAATTGGGTTGCCTTTTTAAATTAAACTTGAGGGGATATTATTCCTCTCGGCACACCGGCTTTTCGAGAGTGCAAGTGTTTGAGAAATGGAAACTAGGAAGCTCACCATGTCATGTGGGTTTGGCCACCTGGCAAAGGTGATTTGAGGGTATCCTGATAATGGGTCTGTTGAGCATACTGAGATACCTGGAGGATGCAAGGATGAAAGGATTGCCCTACCCATGAAGGGCAGCAGAAACTGATTGCGAAAGAACAGTCACTGTCTGACCTGTCAGAGGGGCTAGCATCCAGGAGGCCTAAAGTATCAAGCTCAACATGCGCTCAGATGCTGTAATTGAACAGGTCTTTAGTTTTGAGAACTTCCCTTGGGCTTTGCAGTGCTTTTTAGATATGCTTCAGACACGAATCTTTCATTTCTGTCTCTAGTAATTTTGTCTAAATAATGTTGTCACAGGTTATATTTTGTGATGGATCAGAACAGTCTGGTACAGCAAGCAGTCCAGTACTGGACAGTATGCAAAGTTGCTGTAGCTGGAGTACTTCTCCAGGTGCCCTTTGCTATCAACTGTAGGTACTCAACAAATCTCTTCACTTAAGGAACTTACATGCTGTTAAAAACACTTGCTGTCTTCTGACCAGGGCTACAAAGATGATTAAGGGAGTGGAGCATCTCCCTTATGAGGAGCGGCTGAGGGAGCTGGGTCTCTTTAGTTTGCAGAAGAGGAGACTGAGGGGAGACCTCATTCATGTTTATAAATATATAAAGGGTGAGTGTCACGAGGATGGGGCCAGGCTCTTCTCGGTGACAAACAATGATAAGACGAGGGGTAACGGACACAAACTGGAACACAGGAGGTTCCACTTAAATTTGAGAAGAAACTTCTTCTCAGTGAGGGTGACAGAGCATTGGACCAGGCTGCCCAGGGAGGTTGTGGAGTCTCCTTCTCTGGAGACATTCAAAACCCGCCTGGACGCCTTCCTGTGTAACCTCATCTAGGTGTTCCTGCTCCGGCAGGGGGATTGGACTGGATGATCTTTTGAGGTCCCTTCCAATCCCTAACGTTCTGTGATTCTGTGTGACCTTTCACATCAGCAGAGTGTCGTTCATATCTGAGGACACCGACAGTGAGCAGTAAGCTGGGCAATTTAAACCTTCCTTAAAGTCAACAAAAGCTTTTTTCAATATATCCACTGCCTGTCTCCTGATAGTATCATCCCATCGGTTTGCACTGTTTTTGGCTACTAACATAAAACATTATATGGTTAATAAAAATTAAACTGCTCCTGTTGATGCTGCTTGCAGTGGCTCTGTCAAAGAAGGAATACAAGGCTAAATTGGATGAATTTTGGTCCTAGTTGGGAAATTCCTTTTTTCTTAGTTTCATGTTATGGATCTTCTATTAATGAAAATACTTGCCTTGAGAAGGCAGAATGCACTCACATATGTTGAGTTTCCTCAACATCTGAAGACTGAAATATTTGGAGTAAATTAGGTAGCTTAAGCAAATACAAAACAAAACGTAAAATAATTTCATTTTTAAATTAATAACTATGTGTACTAAAGCTGCCTACTTTCTTTACAAATGTTTTCCATTGCGTAAGCAAGTAAGACTGAAATGTTCAGCATCGACGCAACAACAGTGTTAACCACTGAAAAATAAGTCTACATTTTAAACAACTTTTAAACCTCTGAGAAGGTAATAATTGAGCCAAGTTTCTGACTTCCTGGTTTTATCCAGCAGAATTGAATTATTGTATTTTAAGATATTTTATTTTAGATAGCATGGGCATTTACCATTATAAGTCTCACGCATGCAGTTCAATAGTGTGTTTTCCTAGCCTCTTAAACTGAAGCAATTACAGCAGAAACGTAATGCAGTTCAAATAATGGATATTTCAGCGTGTTGCAAGTTGTTTCAGTCTTGTTGCTTTTTGGATTGTTACTTGACTGACAGAAATCCAGGCTTTTAAAAATTAAATTAAGATAGGATATTTGAAAATTAGAGTCATAAAGAAATAGTTTCCAGGAAGTGTACATTTGAGTGCTTCTTCTGAAAAACAGGGACATTTATCAAATTATTAATTAAATAAACCCCATTGAAAATTTTAATAGCATCTTTTTAGTTGGTTTTTTTTCCTGCAAAACTTGCTGGAGTTCATAGTCTTAAGTCCTTTATGGTGTAAATTTTATGTCAGCGAGAAGCTGTATGAAATACAAGAGTATATATTGTAAATAATCTGAAAAAAGATCTCAGTAGAATAATGAAGTCTGGTTTACATTTTTGTGCCTTGGTAAACAAAAGGGTTGGAGGAGTCAGGCTGTATATAAAGGAAGTTCCTACAGTGTTTTGTTTTAAAGAGTGAGAGAAAGTCTTCATTTTCTAATTGCTTTGTTTTAATTGATTGATCCTTTTTGGTTTAACACTTTTTTTCATGTTTTCTGAAGATGAATCACATAACCTCTTGAGTTAACACAGGAAATGTCATAAATCTGTAGATTAATATACTGCAGACTAGTGCAGTTACTAAGCTGCATTCCTTTAGTTGAATGTAGTTCCATTCATTGATTAAACATTGGAAACAAACTTTATTTCTTCCTTATGTTTTGGAGCCAGCGAATTTCACTGAATGGTGGTGTGAAAGTTACTAGATGTAGGGTTGTACTGTCATATGAAGTTCTTGAACACGTTGTTCAGCACTGCTTTTTATTATGCTGCATAGCCAAATTATATCCATTTCCTTTTGTACAGTAAAGATGGCATAGAAATGGAGATGAAATTATCCCTGCAATGCATGTAAAGTTTATTAAACTACCTGGAGAGCTTTCAGGGTAAAAGCCTGGGGAGGAGGTTATTTGGGAGGATTATAGGTGGTTCTTCATGTTTGTTTTTCTTTTTGAAACTGTTTTTTAAAGTGAACCCTCCAAAAAAATCTTCTGTTAACTTTTCTTGTCATTTTATTTTGTTTTCTTTTATCATTTCAGGAGAGTAGAAACAGCAGTAGATCATCCAGTCCTAGTGTGAGAATGATCACTACCTCGGGACCAAGCTCTGAGAAACCAACTCGTAACCCATGGACACCTGATGATGCAGGTAATCCTTTGTTCATCGGTTAACTTTCTGCCTGTAAAAGATATAAAATACTTACTTGATTATGGTGTGGGCTGTGTGACTAGACATTAACAAAATTAAGCAGTGAAAGTCAAAGTCCATTTTAGTTCTGCTTAAATTGAGTCATTACAGTACTGTTTTATCTTGCACACTGACTTTAAGATTTTTTTTTTTATATAGATTATACTAAGTTACATAAACTTGTAATGAAGTACTGTACATATGCAGTGATAGTACTGTTTAATGCAGATCTTCCAGCACCGGTTTTTGACTGTAGCGTAGTTTTGGGGAATTACAGGAATAGATATCTTAGAGCATTTTAGTCTTGTGCATTTGTGTTATGAATGCACAGTTAAAGCTTTCATTGCTCTGACTTTTGGAATTAAATGCTATATAGGTGAGTATCAGCTGGAATACGCTAATTTTATTTCAGATCTGTGTTGTAATTTTGTTTATGCATAATGTACGTGTGTGTACAATCTTAACATTCTTAAATGAACTAACATAAATATGTCTGCAGAAGTGTCGTAAATACTTCTACTATAACATCACTGTTCTTCTGTTATGAAATACGATTAACAGTGAACAAAATTTAATAGTTAAATTCCATTTTTAAAGTCATAATGCACTCTATTATGAAAAGACCGATACTGGACTGCATGAAAACAATGGTTCCACACAAATTCCTTTTTAGAATATAAATACAAATTACATTTTTGTTACCAAAATGTACATATTGAATCCTAAACTTAGTCTCAAGCTGGTAACTTCATAGTGCCTCAAATTCTGAAGTCTCTTCTTGTGATCCGTTTCATCTTTGGCTGATCACACTCTTTAATTCTCTTCCCGTAACCAGCTGCATAATGGAAACTCGTATGTGGACTGACTTTTGCACAAGCATATATATCTATGTATGCACACTTGTATTTTACCAAATACAAGGTGATTCTCTATATAAGGTGTGTACTTTTTTTCCCCCCTTGTTTTAGTGGGTGGAGAGCAACATACTCTTGTACTTTGCTTCTGTGCTTTCTTCTTTCTGTTGTCACTTTTTCTGATCACACTCTATGCCTGGTCACTCATAACTTCCCAAAGCCCTTGCCCACTGCCACAGCCCACCCTGTGCCTTCTTTTGTGTGGCAGGGGTCCTGAGTTGCTTTAGGCTGTGAGCACTTAATGGGAGTTGCTGCCTCCCACAGAAGCAAGCTCTTACCCAGTCAGTAGTTCATTGGCAACTGAAAGTTGCTGGTTGTATGCCAGTGCAAAGGCAGTTTGCCCCAAGTCTTTGGCCTTAAATGCAGCACAGCACTAAAGCTAAAAGGCAGGTCTGTTTTCTGGCTCACGGAAATCCCTCACCTTATACTCTGGTAAATACAGAACATACCACGTGCATTTTTTTTCCTGTTAAGTTCATGCAGTCCATGAACAAAGAATTGCCTGAATTTCTAAGAAGAAAAATAATTCTAGTTTTCTGTGAAAGAGCGTACATTTTTAAGTTAACGAGGCAAAATGAGAAAATGAGGTTGCAGACAAATCTGGTCAATCACAAGAAAAGTTACAGTTCTGTGACACAGTTCTGAAATGCTCAGGAATGTAATTAAAGTATTTTGCATGTATTGATGTATGTGAAACACTGCAATAATTCCTTTGCTGTGGCAGTATTCCATATATAGCAATAGTCTAATGTAGGGAAGGACTTTTTATACTGTTCTCATTTAAGATACTGTGGTGATTAAGTCTCTGGTTTTAGGGTTGTTTTATTTTCTTATTATTTTTTTTACCACCTTCCAGTTTCCTTACAAGCATACACTTAACCACCTTTTCTCCATTCCCACTCTCTTATTTCTGTTTCCTTTTGAAGCTGCTCTTGGAGATAGCATAGTCTTTGAGGGCCACACCTTAGTTTCTCTACCACGACTACTCTGTGGCAGGTGCTTTTGGGGTATGGGTAAGCAGCCCCTTTTTTTTCCCACCTACCCTCCTCCATATAATCCTCTAGTAGCAGTAACACAGTTATAAAATCAGTAGTTTCTCCATGTGTCTTTACTCCTATGTCTCTTAAAGCTTAACGGTAACCTTGTGATCCCTAGATTGTGGGCTACCAAAAGATAGGATCTACAAGAATTCAGAGAGATGTTAAATCTGGAATGAAAGCACTAGAGAAATCCAGACTAACTGCAGTGTAAGAAGAAGGCAGCCAGGCCTAGGAGGCAGATTGGTTGGTCATTGGGTTCCTTGCTACCCACAAAGTATCTCTACAGAGCAACGAAGATGCCCTAGAGCATGTTGTGAGGAAGACGCTCACAGACCTCACTGGGAGTAGGTTTCAGAACTGCGCAGGAGGTTGTGCTTATTTTATTTTGGTAGAGCTGGTTTGCACAGCTTCTAATTTTAAAATCATTAGATGCATGGGCTGGCTGGCTGATCCTTCATAAACAAGAATGAAGTGGCAATTTTTTTATAAACAGAGAATGTGATTGCAAGCTGTATAAAAATAGTATTTTTAAAGTCTGTATGCTGTTACATGGCTTCTAGAAGTGTAGGAGGATAACCTTAACCTTTATTTCTTCTTGGTGTGATAGACCATACTTTTGAAGTGCTTAACTTTATCAGAAAAACAAAATTACTCATCTGCCTTGGGATTTGAACACTGCTATTTCCATTTGCCTTTCCACATTCAGATTGTGTATTGTGAAATGATTTAGCATTCTTGGTTTTGTCCTGTAAGAATATCATTAACTCTGAAAATGCATTAAAATTTTCATGCTGTTGTTGCAGAGACCAATGGGTCAGATAACTCCATCCCAATGGCATATCTTACGTTAGATCATCAGTTACAGGTAATAATTATATGCTTTATTAGATACTTTATTTTGCATTTCATTCGAATGTGTGAGTTCTGGGCTGGATAGTGAGTATGGTGCCGGATATTTACCTGTGTTCATATTCTGTCTAAATTTTGACCAAGGCTAAAAAAATATATTCTGTAATCTGAGCTTGGTTGACTGAGATTTGATCAAGCTATTAAAAACAAGCCCTGGGAAACATGATCCCTAAAACCAAATGTAAGCTGAGTTTGCCTGTCAAAATGAGACATTATTTGTTTGAGCGTTACTGATTTAAATTGTTGTATTCACTTTATTTGTTGTGTGTGGGATTAAGCACTGCTTTGATTTTTGTTTCTCGTGACAAAGAGTATCAGACTAATAACTGCAGAGTTTGAGATGGAGTTTGAGTCAACTTTGACATCAGTGCAGGAACTTTTTCCAGGGCATGGTTTAGCACTTATTTTTAAAACCTTACTGGTTTTTAAAGGATGTTATAAATACACTGCAGAGACATTCTAACACACTAAGATATCAGTTCATTAGTTTTTAACATGTCTGATTTATTTTCAGCCTCTAGCACCGTGCCCAAACTCCAAAGAATCCATGGCTGTGTTTGAACAGCACTGCAAAATGGCACAAGAGTATATGAAAGTTCAGACTGAAATTGCATTGCTGTTGCAGAGGAAGTAAGTGAAGCTGTTGAACCTTGTCTGTTCTTCTGTATGTTTCTTTTACCCTAAATCTGTTATCTGTGACTATTGTTTCTGCCTTTCTGAAGTAACATTTCATAGGGCATAATTATTTTCCAGCCTTAATCTCAAAAATACTGAGCTGCTCACCCTAGGTGAGGGATTCAGAGCAACTAATTTTAATCAGCATCAAGACTCTTCTTCTGGTCAAGTCCTACTTTGAAGTGTGTAGCACATCAGTGTATGTAACACACTAGTAATGTTTGTTTGTATCATCTCAAATGAAAGTCCTGGACTCTTGAGGAATCTTGGAATTTTATTTCACACACTGGTAAAAGATTTTTAGTTGTAATACATAGATAATCATTTGGATAATGCATTATAGAATTTCGTGTAATATATCAGCTACTCATTTTGCAGTTAATTCTTATGATGATTGACAAAGTCAGATATATATTTCCTTAAGTCTTATCACCACACATCTTGTATTTTTCTACCTGGGGTTTAGGACCTAATACTTAGAAGCCACTGTGTACCTTCTTATCCCTGTGCACTAGAAGTAATATCATACACATATATGGGAAGCAACTGTATGTATCATTGGATTAGGGCCAAAGTTATTGCTGATTCAGAACTTCAGTTTGCAGTACGTCCTATTGTCTTCTGCTTCTCATCATTTCTGCTGAGGAGCAGTTCTGAGAGGTCAAACATGCTCCCATGCAGCAACAAGTAACCAGCTGTCTGAGCCACTGCAGGCAAGTGGTTGTTAATTAGGAGCTTGCACTGGTGGTTGTGGAGTAGCTAATGAGAAAAATGTACATTAGGAATAGTATACAGAATGAGGAAAAAAGCTACTGTAAGATCGACATCTTATCTATTCACTTTATTCACTTTTGGCTTAACATCCTGAGAACAACTTGTTTCCAAGTGTAGCTAGAATTTTTAGACTTCATGAGGAGATTCTGAAGCTAGCGTGAAGATCTTAATATTGGTTTTACTTCTGTTGGCCCTAAGGGTCAATAAATTACATAAAAATGTGTTTCTGTTTTCAAACTTAATTCTATACCTTTAGATTCCTGCATTATCTTTTTTCTCGAAGTCTGCAGACACGTTTCTCCCAAACTGTTTTTCTTAGTCAGAACATAATTGCCCATTTGTATTAAAATGAAAAATAATACGGTGATGGATTGATTTAATGCTGGTGAAGGAGATACTAGTTCAGCCTTTATAGAATAATTAAGTTTTCTTTAACTGTAATTACAAACCATATGGCAACAGTTAGTTAACATGAACTGTCTCCTCTACTATTTTGTTGCTAAAATATTGCTGGCAGCTTGCCTTCTCATCACCTCATAAGCAAATGGTAAAACAAACCACTACATCAGTTCTGCAGGATAATTTATAGCAAGTTTATCAGTGTGTTTGTTCCTCTAAAGTTGTTGCTCAAAAACATATCGAACACTTATGGCATAAATTAAGTGAAATGACAGAAAAATTATTTGCTTGATTCCGCTTTTGTACTGCTTTAAGAAGGTCAAGTCCAAATAGAAAACAGCACTTCACTAAACATTTACTAGAATTACTGCAGTTTTGCCTTTTGAGTTTTCAAATGTCCATATAGTTAAGCAAAATTAGAGTTAAATGTATTTATGAAAATCCTGTGTGGGTCCTTAAATGTTTTACTGTGACCTGTAGAACTACAGCTGAAAGCCATTATAAAAAGGACAGTTTTAGAGATTGAGGCTATGGCTTGCAGATATTTTTAAAGTTTAAATGTGGAGTTGATTTGGAAGATATTTTTCCCCCCGAGTACAGTAAAGAATTAAGATTTTTTTTTATTATTTTTTTTTGTCAATTGTTTGGGTTTTTTTTCCCCACAAAACATATCACCAGCTGTGAGTTCAGACAGATACTCAGATACTGATTTGAAACATACAAAGTCATCTGCATGCAAATAGAAGTACATCATAAATTAAAATTTCTTTTTTTTATTATTGTTTTAGACAAGAACTTATAGCAGAACTGGACCAGGATGAAAAAGACCAGCAAAACACATCCCGTCTTGTACAAGAACATAAAAAGCTGTTAGATGAAAACAAAAGTCTATCAACTTACTATCAGCAGTGCAAAAAACAATTAGAGGTCATCAGAAATCAGCAACAGAAACGGCCAGGCACATCATGATTTCCTGGGACCTTTCAAATGGAAAATATGCACAGAAAAGACTGATTTATCTTTTTTTTAATTGTTATTATCCTTTACTATGACAATTCATGAGTGTTAGCTTCTTGGTGTGATCTGTATTTGTCTGCTACACTTAACATCATTTAATTTTCTTTTTCCTATGGTGGACATCCGGTTCAACAGGTTAATCGAATAAGGTGAGAAAACAGTGACTTGAATTAACCCACAGCCCTCAGTTTAAAGCAAGAACAGCGGCTGTATGCATGCTCCTTGTGTGAAGGCAAGCCTAACAAATGTTAAAGTGGCTGCTAAACTGTAAGATCTTGGTTTTAGTTTCTGGTATTACCTCGAAAAGAGCAAAACAAAGCCTTTCCTGTTTAAGAATGGTTTTGTTCCAGTGTCTCATCTCAAACTATTAATATGACGATTGTTTTCAGGACTTAAACATGCACCAAGCTGCAGAGGTGATGCTGGCTGACCAGAGCGATTCATGATGCATTAGTGATGCCTTCTACCTGTAGACATAGTGTATTTTTTCTACATGCAAAATGGTAGGCAAACTGATGCCAGCATCCTTGATTCAGTGCTTGATAACCCTGCATATTGACTAATACATTTCTTGTAATCTTGCATTCATAAAATATTTGAAGTAAAAGGCTGTATTTTCTTTACTTTCTTGGGGGGAATGGCGTGCAGTTTCATCTAGTTAATGGGCAAAAGTCACGAAGGTGATTCTCTGGGCAATGTAGGTCCCTTGTATAAAAGAGGGAAAGAATCAAAAATATTCAGAAGTGTGTTTTAAAGCGTTTGTCCCTGTAGCATGTTTGGAAGGAAATTCAGAAAGCAAATTAACACAGAATTTTAAATACTCCCTTCATACCACCTCTTGGTTTTGGTTTTATTCTTACACCTTACTTGCTGAAAAGCATTTACCATGAATGTAAATAAGTTTGTTTTGGATAGGGAGAGAAGGGTTTGGGGAAATGAATTTATTTTAAATAGCAAATTATGAAGTGGAGTTGAGTATGCAAATAGCGGAAGCTATTAAGCAAATGAGGGAGATGGCTTAGATATCTCCATCAGGAGTCTCAGTTATTCCACTCATTTGAACATAGTTCAAAGCAAGTCCATCACAGAATGCCTGCTGCCTTTGTGACTGAAGAATTGCATTTAATGAACTCAAGCAGAATATATAATTATCAGTGTCATTCTTTACCATTATCACATGGGAGAAAATAACTACTTGTTTATATTGCAGATTGATTATTTGGATTATGAATTAACTTTGTAACTGGTACAAAAATGAAGCACTTTCAGATATAATGAGAAATTATTCCTTATATAAGCTCTTGGCGTATTCAGTTGTGGGCAGGGCTTTAATAACAAATTTTGCAAAACAAAAATAGAAAATTGAAGTTTAGCTGCTGAGCCCTCAAAATAGAAGTGATCTGAAATTTGACTTACACTTATTTCAAATGGATAATCAGTCATAAGAGCCCATGAGCAGAACTTGGAAAACCATTAAGGGTAAAATATTACAACATTTTCTCTTCCCCTTCCTGCCTAGCTGGTAACAAACATATGAATACTGTTGTGCTTATCCGTGAGCTATAAAGATGGCAGTTTACTGAACAGGTCATCCTGTCTTGAAAATAAATCTATTGGCAAACCTTTGGGAGTTTGAAACCCTTCCCTTATTTTGTTTAAATAAAGGAAGGGTTATCATTCCCAAAACTGTAGCAGATAATTTGATTAGTTAGCTGAAACTGATATTGGGATCAGCTTAAGGGCACACATATTTATAGCAAAATGTAATTGGCAGAGAAAATAACTGTAGTATTAGGAATAGCACAAGTTATCCAAAGCATCGCTGTTCACATACATCTCTCCGTCTACCAAAATGGACACGTTTAGTGATCAGCAGCTTGCCTAACACAGGCTGAAGCACGGAGTAGAGCAGTATAGATACCAATGCTCAGCTTGAGCTGTGTGGTTGATAATTACAGACACAAAATCTTTTCCCAGGACAGTTTTTACAGTTTGCCTTGTCATAAAACAGGTATGTTTATGGTAAATCAGGATTGTAGAGGAAAAGCCACTTTATGGCAAGGTTTGAATAAAGGAAGTGAATGCAATGCTACTTTTATGGTACATAATACAAAAATCTGTTTTGCTTACAACTTGTCAGGGTTTACACTAAAAAGGGTCTCAGATTATAAAACAAGTACTGTGCTACCATGCACTGTTGAACTGGGCTCCACTCAATAGTTAGGTTATATTGCTCTTCTTGTAATATTCAAAGGGAATTTGAAGTGTCACTGTCTGCCTTCAAATTGTCCCTTTCTTAATTCCACCAAAAATTGAAAAAGTACTTGCCCAGATTTCTTAGTGAAGTGTTCTGTGTGGCAAAATCAGTGTATCATTTAAAACAAATAAATAACAACTGTAAGGGTAGGATATAGCAGTTTGGGCTAAGAAGAGTGAAACAGCTTAACTTTCAGTGACCTTTATTATTTTCATAAGGCTCCTGTTTTAAAGTTGTTTACAAATGTACTTTTATTTTTCTGTCAAACTATCTGGAGTGTTCAGGAATTTTTTCATGTACTCTCTTGTCCAGTTAAAGCTGTGCCTCTGATAATGGAGGTGAAACATCTAGTTCTGTCTGGGCATTGCCTTCTCGGAAGAGGTAACAGGCTCTGCTTTTTGTTACAGTATGTGTTCTGTAAGATATTGTGTAATTGAAAGTATGCTTCTGTACACTGTGCAGTTCTGCCAAAAATGCTTTTTTTAGGCTTTTTGGGGTTGTTTTTTTTTCTGATGAGAAGATTGTAATTCAAAACTTGTACATAAAATGGTGAATGATTTCATATGATTCAGGAATGAGCAGTGTGGCTTTCTGCTGCAGGGTTTTCTTGCGTTGTCAGGAATCTAATTAATAAAAGCTGAGAGACTTCCACGAACATGGAGTAATGCCCCAGCGCTCGCCAGGGCATCCCTGGTCTCTGATGGCATCCCACGCGGGGTGGGGGTAATCATCGTGCAGTTGTTCCCACCGCCGAAAGAAAATTCTTCTGCTATGAGCTCTTCCCTCCCAGTGTGCAGAAGTGGGGTGTAGGATGAATAGGCCTGCTCATAACTGAGCGTCAGGATATCTTAAGCATGCCATACCCTTCACACAGATGTTCCCCAAAAAGATAAGCGCTCGTCTCGCGTTGTTAAGTTTGGACAAATTCCATTCCCTGGAGCTTCTCTATCTTGTTCATAATGGATTTTACTGCTTAGGAGTTCCCGTTGCCGTACCACAGATGGAGACAACCCCTTAACTGTCTCCCTGCCTATGAAGAACACGAAATCTTGCTTTACATCTGAGTTGCTTTGAATTTCAAGTGCCCTGCTCAGACCTGCAAGGACATTTGAAAGAAGGGCAAAAAAAAGTGTGGGACACTGGACCCTCTCAGAATACAGGTTTCCCTGCGCTGAATTGGTTGAAGAGGAGGATCTTATGAAAATAAGCCTGTGTGTGTGTATACCCACAAATATATATACTGCTCTGTACTGTGTGTAGGTGCAGAGAGCTGCATATGTCAAATCAGAATTGATAGATTTCTTTTTATTTCCAGAATCTCTGCTGATGCAGGTATAAGCTTTCTGTAGTTAGCTTTTATTTACTTTAATAATAGCACTAGATGAGTGGTGGTTTAAGCCTGTGACAGAAGAGCCAGATAAAGACAGGTGTGTGCATGTGAGTGCATCAGTTATTTTCTGTGCCCATGTAACCTTTCTCTGCTGCTTGCAGGGACACTTCAGATCTCCCACTGCACTTGGACAGATTTTCTAAAAGTGTTTTGACTTTGAACCTACGTCCTGACTCTGGTCATGGAGGGGTACTTAATGAAAGAGTAAAACTGAATTAGACCAAATACTTTAAAATTTGAATTATTAATAAAATACTGTCTTAATATATTTAAAGAGCACTGCTTATCCTAGGGCTTTAACCTAAACAAGCATTAATGAAATGAAGGTTTTTATTCATAGCTGTGTGCTTTATGTTAAGTAGCTAAAATTTGAGATACTCCAAATGATAAAATAGGCTTGTGTTCATGCAATTTCCCATGCTTTGTCCATACCCACCTTCTGACTTGGATAAAGGCAGCCCAGCTACTCAAGGGTACGCTTGACAACCCTTGCCTTTCACGGACAGAGAGGAGCAGATCATTGCAATAAAAATTTAAAACATATCCAGCCTTATCAAGCGAAAGGCCCTGGGAGAGGCAGACCTGGCAGCTGTGGCACACAGCCCCTGCCTCCTTGGTGTGAGACCACAGCGCTTTACTGGTGCCAAGGGGGTGATGCAGCACATTCCAGCTCCCGTTCTCTAGCAAGGCACAGACTGCATCTGTGAGGTTTGGCTTCCCTGCATAAATACAAATAAATATAAATAATACAAATCCGCTAGCGTTGGCATGCAGACTGGTGGAAATGCAATGGTCTTGCCTTTTCCTGGCCAC